ATATATAAATTATAACATTGGTTAGATTTTATTTTAAGACTGTGATATTGGCCAAATACAGCCTCAGGCTCTGTACAAATAATCTACAAGTACAATGATGTCGACTTACATTGTACAATACAGTACAATGATGTCGACTTACATTGTACAATACAGTACAATGATGTCGACTTACATTGTACAATACAGTACAATGATGTCGACTTACATTGTACAATACAGTACAATGATGTCGACTTACATTGTACAATACAGTACAATGATGTCGACTTACATTGTACAATACAGTACATACCGCGATTAATACATCTTCACCCAAATTTCAAGCAGATTATCTTATTACACACAGAAATCACAATAGCGTGATGCATCAAGTGAAGGCAGCGTCTGGGATGCTCTTGGACGCAGGTTCGAATCCTCGTCACGGCCCTTGTGGATTTGTTCAGATTATCTTAGTTAAAGTTAATTAATTCAGATTACGGAACAATTGGTTATCTAGTAAGACTTTTGGGACTGTAATTAAAAAATACTATCCTAACATTCCCAGAGTGTGTGTGTGGGGGAAAGTTTGCTAGTCATTCAAGACTAAATCACGGTCATGATAGTGATTTAAAAATGATAAATAAAATGTAAAAATGATATGGTAAAGTGAGACCCTCCCCAATGCCTAGTACGTACTGTCTCAAGATTAAATTTTTTTAGTAGTACTCAACATAGTCACTTGAGGGCGACGTTACACAGTTTTTAATAGTAAGCTGTTCTGTATGATCATATATAAATGTCAGTACAAAGCAGTCTCAAAACAATGTGTAAAGTATTTGTTTTTCAAACCGGTAAAGGAGACCACTGTGCTACAGATGACAAGTCAAGCGTGGCTGCGGGCCGGGCTTGGGGGCTGAACAACTCCCACAACCCCGTCCAGGGACTAACCTGGTCACCAGGGGCCAGATTCACGAAAGTACTTACGGAAGCACTTACGAACCTGTACATCTTTTCTCAGTCTGTGGCGGCTTTGTTTTCAATTATTAAACAGTTAATGAGCTCCGAAGCACCAGGAGGATATTTATAAAAATAACAACAGTCGAATGGGAAGTTTTCATGCTTGTAAACTGTTTAATAAATGTAACCAAAGGCGTCAAAGATTGAGGAAAGATGTACACGTTCGTAAGTGCTTGCGTAACTGCTTTCGTGAACCTGGTGACCAGGTTAGTACTTTCCCCCACGCACACACACTGGGAATGTTCAGGATAGTATTTTGTATTTACAATCCCAAAAGTCTTACTGGATAATTAATTCAGATTACGGAACAATTGGTTAACTTTTAACATAAGATACTCTGAACAAATCCACAAGGGCCGTGACGAGGATTCGAACCTGCGTCCAAGAGCATCCCAGACGCTGCCTTCACTTCACTCCAGACCACCACCACTCGTTCCTCCTCCACCTGGAGCTCTGCCTACCCTCACCCCACAGCTTCTCACATATCTAGAACTCTGCTTTTTCCCCACTCCCGGAGTGTTGCTCTCCTCATTGTGTGAGCTATCACTCCATGGTCACATCAAATGCCTCTGCAAAGTCTGTGTGTATACTACATCTGTTTTTCTTCTAATGTATCAATAATTTTGTCATAGTGGTCGAGTAACAGCGAGGAATTATCTTCCCGCACTAAATCCATGTTGTCCTGGGTTGTGGAGGTCATTGGTCTTCATAAAACTTAAAATCTGACACCTGATCACTCTCAAAAATATTAGTGCGACTAGTCCATAATTCTTAGCCACTGCTTTGCCGCCTCCCTTGTGTAGAGGAGCTATATCAGCTGATTTAAGTGCTCCTGGTGCCCTCCCCGTGCCCAAGCTTTTTCTCCACGCTACACTGAGTGCCTGTGCTACTGGCACTTGTATTTCTTTATAAATATTGAATTCCTGGACCCGGGACCGAGTGCTGTCAATTTAGCCTTACAAACCTGCAGACTTCGTGTTGATATCACTTATATTTTCAAGGGGTTTGAATATGGTGCATACAGAAGCTGTCCGGATCTTCTACTGTCATGCTGTTTATTAGTCTGCTAAACATGTCCTCGTATTATTTTTTTAGGATTTCACTCATTTCTCTGTCGTGTTGTATATGAACCTTCAATTATAAGTAGTGTACTGTATAGGTCCAATATTGACGGATTAGAAAACAATGTAAAAGGTCGCTGGAGGCCTGGGGTCACGAGGCAAGATACAAGCACTTCTCTGTGAGCAAGATAAACACACTAAAGGATTACCTGAAGTCTCTTCATTTTCGGTACATGTAAGGTTGGGACACCAATGTTCCTCTCCACAACCACAACCCTCCACATGATTGGAGGGTTGTGGTTGGTTGGTTGATCAAGTTTAAGCCACCCCAAGATGTGGCACGGGCATGAATAGCCCGTAACCAAATAAGTCAGGGTATGGATGGCGAAGAAGGGGGAACGGGAGAGGGGGTGGCATAGTAGCAGCAGATCTCATAAGTGACTCAAAAGCGGGTGCGACATTCTACGGGCTCACCATAGCCAGTGCTACATGGACACTTCGTTCTGAGTAGCTAAATCTGAAACAACAACAACAACAAGTGTGCGACAAGTACACCAAACATGTCAAGATTAAGAGGCGTAACCCAGGAGCTGAATCTATTCCCAGCCACAACTATGAGAATATTTCTTGACACGTTCACGGGAGACATCTCCCGTCACGCAGGGTGCAGGCGCACCTCCACAGATCTCCAGTATCAGCTCCTGATACTGGTGATGGCTCAAAAGGGCCACCACTTACGGGCTATTCATGCCCGTGCCACCTTTTGGGTGGCTTAATCTTCATCAATCAATCTTTTAACACGTTCTCCAACACGCCGCGTTACTTGGAAACAGCCACTTGGCCTGGACGGTAGAGCAACGGTCTCGCTTCTTGCAGGTCAACGTTCAATCCCCCGACCGTCCAGGTGGTTGGGCACCATTCCTCTCCCCCGGTCCCATCCCAAATCCTTATCCTGACCCCTTCCCAGTGCTATATAGCCGTAATGGCTTTGCGCTTTCCCTTGATAGTTTCCTTCCCTTCTCTCTCCTAAAAAAATATTAGCATGATTTTTTTTACTTTGAAAAACAATCCAAAATAACATCTCACCAAGTTTCCTTCCAGCAATAGCCTACCATATATCACAAATTAATGTAAAAGTACGTTTTAATCGAATTAAAACAAAATATATCAATTTAGCTGAACTAGGAGCGCAAGTGTAACCTTATTTATATTACAAATATTGTATATATTTAATATTGTGTATATTATTTAAAGCCTGGTTTAACTTTTCCATATTGCGAACTTTGTTATTATTACACACAAAATAAACTCACTAACTGGCATTTAATTCTATTAAATAGTAAGGTGTAAATAATAGTGAAGTTGGACGATGTCCCCACCAAACAGCCGTCCACACTGTACCATGAAATATACGCACACTTTTGTAAATTTATAATTACAAACTAATACTAAAGACAGTGTACATGGAACCTTATCATCCCATGCGATGCGAAATTATATTAAAAATAATGAGCAAAACTGAGAATTTCTTTTAAGTGCGTATTGCTTTACAAGTACAGTCCACGTTAGTGGTAAAATGCTAACACACTTTAGTTGTTGTTTCAGATTTAGCTACTCAGAACCAAGTGTCCATGTAGCACGGGCTATGGTGAGCCCGTCACGCTTTAGTTAAAGGGGACAAGTTATATAGTGACCGCAACAACTGTTACAAAGTATTTAAGGAAACCCTTTTGTACAGGATGATGATGATCAGGTTACAGCCCCGCTCCTGTGCCAGGTAAGTCCACTACGGGCTCACCATAGCCCGTGCTACTTGGAACTTTTTGTTCCCAGTAGCTGAATCTATAACAACAACAACAACAACGTACAGGATGATATTGACCCTGGTCAGTAACCTCGCTTATTTATTTTGAAATATAATTCCGCGTTCGTCTCTTTATGTGTTATCCATCAAATGCAATTTTAATCCACCAAGATTGTCGCCTCAAAATAATAACTATAAAATAAACCCTCCGCCGACATGGGAGGACCAATGTGGTGTGCAGGGTAAGAGGGCCCCGGTAGCCAGAAGCCACCAAGGACGGAGACCAAGTCCATTCCATCCAGCGGTCGACCCCACAGACACATTCATAAACTTTTATATGCTGTTCATTCAAAACGGGAATTATATTATCATATTGTGCATACATATATAGGTATAGGTTAAGTTAGGTGTTTAGGTTCTGTTGGCGATTATTTGTAGTACGTGGGTGAAGCATTTATAGCGTTGTGATTCGAACAAAATTCGTCAGTGAAACACTTGTTCCGGATATGTTCGAACGTCAGCAGTTGTGAGTCGTGTGTAAACCGCTTTTCATTCATAAACAGGGGGTTTGGCGGGTGGATGGAATGAACTTAGGGGCTTTGTTTGGAGGACGGGCTGCAGAGACACCCATATTACCTGTCTACCCAGGTAGACGCTAGCAACTGTTCCACGTAAGAATTCCTAGTTCCTGTACAATCTGAATAAGTGCCAGTTATCCTGGCACACTTGTGGGTCACACTAGCTCATTGATAAATAATCAGCAGACAAATTAGGAGCTGACAATGACGACTGGGAGTTACAGGTCACTACTCACAAGTACAGCAACAGCCTGTTGGACCAAACTCCCAAGTCAAGCCTGGCCCCGGGCGGTGCTTGGGCAGTACAAGAAATCCCAGAACCCATACGGGCCTGCCGGCCGCTCCAAGCAACAGACTGTTGGATCAAGTTATCACAAGTGGAGTCTGGTCCCAGGCCGGGCTCGGGGGAGTACAACAACTCCCGAAACCCTCTCCAGGTATGTTCCAGGTACAATCCAAGTGCGGGTACCACCTGAGAGTGTTGCAAGGACTGTGTAAGGTGATCACCACAGGGGACGCTAGGGGCACTGGCCCATTACAAGCAGACGTCTTGCTTACCGTCAGCCAAATAATTATAGATCCACTTCTTCTTGGGGGGATGAGTCCACTTCTCGGGCGGGTCGAGTTGCTTGAGTCCCATGTTGAGGGTGAGGGGGGAGAGGCGGGTGTGGGGCGGGTGTGGGGCGGGAGTGCTCACACTACACACCTTCACCACGGTCCGTTCTCTACACAACACTACACAAAAGTCATTACAAACACCTACACTAGCCTCACTTCATAACCAGTTGCGGCTTTTGTGTATATTGCACATTGTGAGTAAATTGGAAGCGGAGGGCGGGATTGTGTGTGGTGGGGTCAGCAGTGCGTGGGTCTCCATGGGTGAGGAGGAGAGAGCGGCACACCCCGCCACACTGCATGCCACATAGCTACACACTGTGGGATCACGCGACCTTGACGGCCCGCCGCCCTCACCACCAAACGGGTTCACTTGGCCTCCACAACAACTGGTGGTGGTGGGGAGCACACTGGCAGAGTCGCACCATCAACGCTCCCCTGAGTCACGTCCTCACGCTGCTGCTGCTGCTGGAGTGGGCGGAAGGCGGGGCGAGGGTGTACCGGACCACCCCCTCCACTACACCTCAGTAACCACTCACACTAGACACGCTCAACACCCAGTGTGTTTAGGCAACCCCGGGGCGACGGAGAGGTGCATCCTCCTCCGGCGCCCGACAGTCACTGTCTCGTGAGGGCCCGTGAACCCGACCTCCTCCTGGCAACCTGCTGCTGCTGCTACTACTACTACTCCCTCAGCCTTGTCTCCTTCTCTCACCACCTGCCTCTCTTCCCTCCCCTCACGCCCCGCGGCCCTGCACCAACACTTGCTCTATGTATTGACACCATCATGACCTGTACTATGCAGCACCCGACCCACAAATGCACCTCGACACCATAGTGTAGCACACTGGACTGGCTACCTGGATAGAAATACTTCCCATCAGGGGACTGGAAGACTGTTAACCTCATCGAGGTCCCGTAGGTCAATGACTGGCCTCTAGGATACAACCCACCATTGCTACTTAGTACCTTTACATGAGTATTATCACTGGCAAACCAATAATAACGAAAACCTATGTTTCGAAACCAATCTTAAACCACTTGGTACTATAATCCAAACACTAACCGAGTCCCTAGCAGTCAAGATACTTTAGGGTTGGGGAGTCATTATTGCGATCGAAGACGTTACATATGGCATACCTGGATCTGGGAGATCTTCCACTCCCCAAGCCTAGCCTTAACCGTGAACCTCTGATGTTCATACATTGTTCTCAGAGTGTTCCTTCTGTATGGCACCTCTACTCTTCATCGTGTCTATTCTGCATTCCCTGTCATATCTTTCCCCCAGTATGTTGTTGTTTTACTGTGCAAATTGTGTACCTGACCCTTCAGTTTCTTCCATGTATAAATTATGTGATGCCTCTTATTTCCTATCCAGACAGTACAGTTTGAGACGACCAAAAGTACATTCTCTTGCAGGCGATGAGTCACAATAACGTGGCAGAAGTATGTTGACCAGACCACACACTAGAAGGTGAAGGGACGACGACGTTTCGGTCCGTCCTGGACCATTCTCAAGTCGATTGTGAATGACTTGAGAATGTCATTGAGTACCCAAGTCGACAATCGACTTGAGAATGGTCCAGGACGGACCGAAACGTCGTCGTCCCTTCATATTACCGACTTTCCGGCTTTGCCAATATACAGAACGCCACCTCTCTTATTGTCATGAATACATTTTTTAACTGTCTCAAAACTGAGCTTCAGAGACAGAATTTGAATAATCTAATGTATAACATTATAATAATGTTATACTTAGTCTATGCAAATATTGTTTTATTTATGCTACAAGTTTTGTTCATACAAATCTCGCCACTCTTATGTTAGCCATACGTTTATTGTTCCACTGTACGGATACAGTGAGTACAGCCACAACTGTAATGGCTTGTATACATGTGCGACCCACGCTACTGTATCATCACACACTGCTGTACTCACTGTACACTAGTGCGACCCACGCTACTGTAGCATCACACACTGCTGTACTCACTGTACGGATACAGTGAGTACAGCCACAACTGTAATGGCTTGTATACATGTGCGACCCACGCTACTGTATCATCACACTGCTGTACTCACTGTACACTAGTGCGACCCACGCTACTGTAGCATCACACACTGCTGTACTCACTGTACACTAGTGCGACCCACGCTACTGTATCATCACACACTGCTGTACTCACTGTACACTAGTGCGACCCACGCTACTGTAGCATCACACACTGCTGTACTCACTGTACGGATACAGTGAGTACAGCCACAACTGTAATGGCTTGTATACATGTGCGACCCACGCTACTGTATCATCACACACTGCTGTACTCACTGTACGGATACAGTGAGTACAGCCACAACTGTAATGGCTTGTATACATGTGCGACCCACGCTACTGTATCATCACACACTGCTGTACTCACTGTACGGATCCAGTGAGTACAGCCACAACTGTAATGGCTTGTATACATGTGCGACCCACGCTACTGTATCATCACACACTGCTGTACTCACTGTACGGATACAGTGAGTACAGCCACAACTGTAATGGCTTGTATACATGTGCGACCCACGCTACTGTATCATCACACACTGCTGTACTCACTGTACGGATACAGTGAGTACAGCCACAACTGTAATGGCTTGTATACATGTGCGACCCACGCTACTGTATCATCACACACTGCTGTACTCACTGTACGGATACAGTGAGTACAGCCACAACTGTAATGGCTTGTATACATGTGCGACCCACGCTACTGTATCATCACACACTGCTGTACTCACTGTACGGATCCAGTGAGTACAGCCACAACTGTAATGGCTTGTATACATGTGCGACCCACGCTACTGTATCATCACACACTGCTGTACTCACTGTACGGATACAGTGAGTACAGCCACAACTGTAATGGCTTGTATACATGTGCGACCCACGCTACTGTATCATCACACACTGCTGTACTCACTGTACGGAAACAGTGAGTACAGCCACAACTGTAATGGCTTGTATACATGTGCGACCCACGCTACTGTATCATCACACACTGCTGTACTCACTGTACACTAGTGCGACCCACGCTACTGTAGCATCACACACTGCTGTACTCACTGTACGGATACAGTGAGTACAGCCACAACTGTAATGGCTTGTATACATGTGCGACCCACGCTACTGTATCATCACACACTGCTGTACTCACTGTACACTAGTGCGACCCACGCTACTGTAGCATCACACACTGCTGTACTCACTGTACGGATACAGTGAGTACAGCCACAACTGTAATGGCTTGTATACATGTGCGACCCACGCTACTGTATCATCACACACTGCTGTACTCACTGTACACTAGTGCGACCCACGCTACTGTAGCATCACACACTGCTGTACTCACTGTACGGATACAGTGAGTACAGCCACAACTGTAATGGCTTGTATACATGTGCGACCCACGCTACTGTATCATCACACACTGCTGTACTCACTGTACACTAGTGCGACCCACGCTACTGTAGCATCACACACTGCTGTACTCACTGTACGGATACAGTGAGTACAGCCACAACTGTAATGGCTTGTATACATGTGCGACCCACGCTACTGTATCATCACACACTGCTGTACTCACTGTACACTAGTGCGACCCACGCTACTGTAGCATCACACACTGCTGTACTCACTGTACGGATACAGTGAGTACAGCCACAACTGTAATGGCTTGTATACATGTGCGACCCACGCTACTGTATCATCACACACTGCTGTACTCACTGTACGGATACAGTGAGTACAGCCACAACTGTAATGGCTTGTATACATGTGCGACCCACGCTACTGTATCATCACACACTGCTGTACTCACTGTACACTAGTGCGACCCACGCTACTGTAGCATCACACACTGCTGTACTCACTGTACGGATACAGTGAGTACAGCCACAACTGTAATGGCTTGTATACATGTGCGACCCACGCTACTGTATCATCACACACTGCTGTACTCACTGTACGGATACAGTGAGTACAGCCACAACTGTAATGGCTTGTATACATGTGCGACCCACGCTACTGTATCATCACACACTGCTGTACTCACTGTACGGATACAGTGAGTACAGCCACAACTGTAATGGCTTGTATACATGTGCGACCCACGCTACTGTATCATCACACACTGCTGTACTCACTGTACGGATACAGTGAGTACAGCCACAACTGTAATGGCTTGTATACATGTGCGACCCACGCTACTGTATCATCACACACTGCTGTACTCACTGTACGGATACAGTGAGTACAGCCACAACTGTAATGGCTTGTATACATGTGCGACCCACGCTACTGTATCATCACACACTGCTGTACTCACTGTACGGATACAGTGAGTACAGCCACAACTGTAATGGCTTGTATACATGTGCGACCCACGCTACTGTATCATCACACACTGCTGTACTCACTGTACGGATACAGTGAGTACAGCCACAACTGTAATGGCTTGTATACATGTGCGACCCACGCTACTGTATCATCACACACTGCTGTACTCACTGTACGGATACAGTGAGTACAGCCACAACTGTAATGGCTTGTATACATGTGCGACCCACGCTACTGTATCATCACACACTGCTGTACTCACTGTACGGATACAGTGAGTACAGCCACAACTGTAATGGCTTGTATACATGTGCGACCCACGCTACTGTATCATCACACACTGCTGTACTCACTGTACGGATACAGTGAGTACAGCCACAACTGTAATGGCTTGTATACATGTGCGACCCACGCTACTGTATCATCACACACTGCTGTACTCACTGTACGGATACAGTGAGTACAGCCACAACTGTAATGGCTTGTATACATGTGCGACCCACGCTACTGTATCATCACACACTGCTGTACTCACTGTACGGATACAGTGAGTACAGCCACAACTGTAATGGCTTGTATACATGTGCGACCCACGCTACTGTATCATCACACACTCACTGTACGGATGTACTCACTGTACGGATACAGTGAGTACAGCCACAACTGTAATGGCTTGTATACATGTGCGACCCACGCTACTGTATCATCACACACTGCTGTACTCACTGTACGGATACAGTGAGTACAGCCACAACTGTAATGGCTTGTATACATGTGCGACCCACGCTACTGTATCATCACACACTGCTGTACTCACTGTACGGATACAGTGAGTACAGCCACAACTGTAATGGCTTGTATACATGTGCGACCCACGCTACTGTATCATCACACACTGCTGTACTCACTGTACGGATACAGTGAGTACAGCCACAACTGTAATGGCTTGTATACATGTGCGACCCACGCTACTGTATCATCACACACTGCTGTACTCACTGTACGGATACAGTGAGTACAGCCACAACTGTAATGGCTTGTATACATGTGCGACCCACGCTACTGTATCATCACACACTGCTGTACTCACTGTACGGATACAGTGAGTACAGCCACAACTGTAATGGCTTGTATACATGTGCGACCCACGCTACTGTATCATCACACACTGCTGTACTCACTGTACGGATACAGTGAGTACAGCCACAACTGTAATGGCTTGTATACATGTGCGACCCACGCTACTGTATCATCA